TTTTTTGGGCTTATTTCAATTGGTATTTAGCTCGTGTTTCAATATATATATATATATTTATATTGGTCGGTTGCATACACTGGCAGCAGTCCGAACTCTCACCCTGAATGGAAAGAGCTCAACAAGCCTCTGTTTGTTGTGAAGCGTGCTTTTGTCCCGATTGCCCGCATGAGGTTGTACAAGCGGCTGTGTGAGCTCAAGCTCCTGAAGAAGCAAGCAGGGTTTCAAGGAGCCTTCATCGACTCAAGCTGCGTGGGGTTGCAGTTTGAGCATTGTGCCGACGCCGAAAAGTTCCTGACGGCGCGCGGTCATGAGCTTCCAATCACTTTGCCCGGATTAATGCAAAGAAGTATCGTTTGAGCATCGCTTCTACTGGAGGAGCAGATGCACCCAAAGCTTCCGAGCCCGAACATGATCCTCAGGGAGTTCTTCCCCCGACTGCGACATCCAAAGGACTTCTGCATCACCTACATCGGCTCACATTGGCCAGACAAAAGAGTAATCTTCCAGAGAATGTCTTGCGCATCTTCCACACCTCGGGTGAAATTGCATTTGATTTGGAGCCGACAGCAAATCAGAACATGACAGATATCTATGCCATCATCCGGCAAGAGCACCCTGGCTGCATCTTGAGCAAGCTGCCAGAGTGCGAAGCAGCAAGCCTTGCAGCGGATCCAGCATTGCCTGGGGAGTTTTTGCTTGTACCGCCCATGTCGCTCCCTTTGGCCTTGCCCACAGAATTTTCAGTTGGGCCTGCTGATGAAAGGGATCTCGACTTTGCACTCATGAAGGAGGTCCTGTGCGAGATGCTTGGGGATTATGCGTGCATCAAGCGAGAGTCTGCAGATGGCACGGTCGATCACGTCTTCAAGCACCGCAAGGAGGAATGCAGCCGCAACAAGCTTGTGGTTGTCAGATCTGCTGTGCATCATTTGAACCATGTCATCCAACACAGGAAGGTGGCCTTCTTGAGCATCGTCGGCAAGCCGCGTGAAGGAAAGAGTACCCTTTTGGAGCTCATGCGGAGGCAACTCTCCGGTGATGATGGCTTGCCTCTCTTCCGATGTTCCAATTCCTCAGAGAAAGCTTGCACGGCAGGTCTTTGGGTCTCCACTCGTGGCTTCTTGACCAAGGCATCTGAGGCTTCGCCACAGTATAGACCTCTTCTGCTCATGTTGGATTCGGAGGGTCTTTTTGCGGATGATGGTGTGCATCAAGACTACTTTGTGCGGCTCTTCACCATTGTTGGGGTGCTGTCCTCCGTGATGATCTTGAATAATAAGATCTCCAACACAGTGGCGGAGGAATTCAAGACCCCTTTGGCTCGCCTGGCAGTGATGTACAAAGGCTTTTTTGAGAGAAACCCGTGGTTTAAGGAGCACCAGCCCAAGGTCTTGTATTTGGCGCGGGATTGGAACCAAAGCCAAGACCTTTTTGAAGACTCAGAAGCCTGGCAAGAAGTAGAAAGCAGATGCAGCTCTGAAGAGGGCCCTTTACACGACGCGATGCGTTTCTCGGCCTTGCTTAAGATGTGCTGGGAATAATTGATGGAAGGTGCACAGGTTAGGAGCTGGTTTCATGTTCTAGGAATGTGAATACTCCAAACAGATTCCTTGCTGGATTTCTCAACCACATCGGAGGTTTCATCAAAGAAGCCTTTGGCGTGGTCAAGTTTGTCACTTTGCCCAGTCCCGTTGCGGAGATTGACAAGAATGACATTGTGTCCAAATCTTTGGATGGTCGATTCAAGAAGAAGCTTGCCAGCATCGTTGAAAGGATTGTGGAACCATCACTAAAGCCCAAATCCTTCACCAATTCGAATGGATCCAACTGCTACATCAGCGGCGGAGAGCCATTGTTGGAGCTGCTGTGTAGCACAGCAGAAGCCGTATCAACGGAGATCGCTCTTGACTGGCCAGGTGCTTTGCAGAGATTCCGAGAGAAGGCAACGCTGGCGCGGCTTGACGCGCAGGTGGCTTCCATGGCAGAAGAGTACATGAAAGCTTCGCGTGGCCATCCACTAGTGATCGAGGCTTTGGCTCGCGATTCGCTTGAGGAAGCGGCTTTGAAAACCCTCAAGACATGTGCAGAACAGGCTGGATTGGTGGTTTCTGCTGAGAGAAGTTCTCTTAAGATCAGGGGCCCACCTTCTCAGCTGCGAACTTTGGTGAGGGAATCCTGTCCTGATTCGTTGAAGACGCCCAGCTGCAAGAAATGTGTAGGTCAGATGAAGAGCAATTAGTGGATAACAAGTTTTGATAGGCCCGCGATCCATTTAATCTATAGTACTTGCCACAGACTTATTGTCTTTTAGCAGTTCACATCTCTTTGTTGACTGTGATTGCTTGAGCTCTCCAGGAAGCTTTGTGTTCCGCCAAGGATGGTGCCGTTGCTTGAGGCTTTCAAAGAGCACCTCAAAAAGGAGCAGGTCACAGTCAGATCGGGGGCCCTAGAGGAGCTAGCAGCTTTCGGCTACGCCGCAAGCACTGTGGACTCTCAATTGCATTTTTGGACCACAGTCTCAAACGGAAATAGCCAGTGGAAAGGAAGTCAGATCGGGTGGAAGTGTATTTTGGGATGGGGAACAGGCAGGTGGTATGTATCAAGGAGTTCACCGGTTGCTAGACTAGGGCTTATCGCAGCTTTGCCCACGGTTCTTGGATCCCATTTTCTTGTTGGGGTTCAGCGCCATGTTAAGATGTAAGAAATGTGACAGCAGCAGTGATTCTGGTCAGTTTCGTTCATTGGTACTCAATAGTTTTATTGCAACCGAGGATGATTTGATGCACGCGTACTTTCACAAGTATTTCCTGGATCTCAACCAAACTTGCGAAGACCTTGAAGAACTCTTCGTGCAGAGGGAACTCGCCTTCGTCGAGAAGCAGGTGAAGTGCCAGATGAGGGCGGCGACATCGAAGGAAGATGTGCTGCACCTGGCTGAGAGTTGGCAAGAATCGTTTCGGCAAGGCGGCTCGGTCCGGCAAAAGGACGCCTTCCAGCTTGCAACCCGAATGATTTCAGAAGAGGCGACAATGATCATCAACCGCCCAACGGAGTTGGTGCGGCAAGCAGCAACCTATACCTGGCTGCACAAGATGGGCCTCACTTTGGACACACAAAATCCGCAGTATACGTCCTTGGAGGATGCTTTGAAAGATGTGGAGGGCGACCGACTCTTTGCTGCAACGATACGACCCGAGGATGTCTTCTTCCTTGCTCAGGAGCAATTGAGACAACCCTCTGAACCAGCGCTTTGCCGTCATGCAGATGTGAAGGTGTTGATCAGCGAGCAGGCTGAACACTTTCAACAGGCTACCTTCAAGGAGAAATGCCGCAGGTATCACTCGGAGGTGTAGGGATCTCAGTTGCTGCGCGGGAAGTCATGCTGAATCTCTTGTCTAATTACTTTCATTTTGCAATCTTGTTGAGTAAGAGCCCAGGTGTCGCATGCTGGCGCCACTAGGCAGGGACCCAGCATCCCTTTGGAGGATTTGCGAGGAGTTCTTTGGTATGGAGAATCCTGAATCCAATGGTGAAGCCTTCAGCGAGCTTTTGCAGGGCGCCTTGCAGGCCAGAACCTTTTCAAACGTCAGTAGCTATGATAGGATTGCCTTGGCTTCGAGTGAGGAACAAACTTATTTACTTCCCAGCGCTGCGCTCAACACGGTCAGGTGCGTTCTAGCGGGGAAGAACTTGCAGCCATAGAAGAAGTGAAGGTCTTGACTCAGGGTGTCGGGAATTCTGAGAGTTGCTTGGGCCTGGTCTTCCGGGAGCAGTTGCAGTTTTCAATCGAACACTTTTGCAGTTCGGTTGTCGAAGCAGCTTTTGGAGAGCTTCAGGTGATGCTCTTTGCAGATTGCAAACTACAACTCCAGGATAAGTTGAAGGAGCTGGGTGTAGATGTCTTAGCTGTGAAGCCCAATCACAGTTGGGGCACAGACAAAGCGGACAAAGCCTGGAACATTGCATTGCGTTCTGCCATGGCTCTACAGACAGTACTGAAACATCAAGCTACCTTCAAACCCTTTCAGAAGATGGGCTTGCAATTGCCTCCAATCAAGTGGGTGTCGAAATTCAGCAACAAAGCTTTGGAGTGCTGGAAGGACCATGTCTGCCGATGTTCTTCAGAGGAAGATGTCATTGAGTACAAAGACACTTTTGAGCAAGCAGTGGCGTGCCTCTACGAAAGAGGCAACTCTTTCTCAGCTGCAGGTGAAGAGATTGAGGTTCGCGTTCGCTTTTCACTCGTCCTTTTCCCAGTGAGGTTCGAGTTGTCGCCAGCTTTGCTCCAAGAGATTTGTCCGAGATTGCAGTTTCATGCTGATTCGCCAATGGCGCTT